AGCTCTGCTCCAGTCCCCAAACCCTGCAGCTCCTGCACCCCTGGCCTTGCACTGGGGCTGTCCGTTCTGGAGATCCCCCGTGGCAGTCACGTCCAGCCAGGTTTGTCCCCCTAAAATCATCCTGGGCTTGCTTTTCTTTATCTCACATCACTCGGTGATTTCCCCAGGCCCCAGCTTCTCAGGCCAGGAGGATTTGGGGACTCTCTGAGGGGACGTGGCAGAAGCAGAGCTCGTGCACCTGGGGCTGATGAAACATCTCCCCTGGAGAGACATCGCGACGTGGCGCAGCCGGAGGGGACAGGGACGTCCCTCCTGCCCTCCCCGAGGCAGCTGCAGCTGCTGTTCCTGGAGGCAGCAGGGCTGAAACTCGAAAGCAAGAGCTAGGGCTGAGAATAGCTCCAGCCCAGGGTGGGGGGAGAGCCAGACCCCACTGGGGTGACAGTGGGAGGACAGCAGGAGTCACCCCACCTTGCAGTGTAGCTCTGCAGCTCGGGCAGCGCCCAACAGCTCCTGCCCTGCCTGGGCCGGGGGTGCTGGTGGCTCCTGCACCCCATCCTGACATCCCCGCCTCCAGCAGCCGCCTCCCCTGCGGGGTGTGGGGAAGCTGTGCAGAGCCCTGGCTGTGCCCGCCAGCCCGGGCCCCCAGCCAGCGCCGCCCTGCAGCTGCACGCCCGCGGGGCAGCCCCTGGCTAAATTTACCCCCAACCTGCCTCGGTCTCCAATCAGAAACCCGAAGAGGGGGCTGAGAAAAGGAAGCGAAACCCTCTCCAGCGGGCGCTGACGTGTGAAGGCGCGGGCCCTGGCCCCGAGGTGGCTCAGCCCTGAGATGGTCACTGGCTCCTTGCCCCTGCCTCGCCAGGCTGTCACCTCTCAGAGCCATCCCTGCAGCAGGGGGACAGGTTTTGGGGCAGCCTGAAGCTCCCCAACAGTGGCAGGGTGGGTGGATGGTGGTGGGGCCAGGGGCCCCCAGCCCCCCCAGCTCTGCACCTCTGACCCACACACACGGCATTCAGGGCCAGGGCTGACCCTGATACTGCTCAGCTCATGGCCTTGTCCCCCTGCTGCTACTCCACTGCTGGGTCACCCCAAATCCCCCCTCATTAACTGAATTAAAATAATCAGTCTCTGCCTCCTGCCAGGCAGCCCCTTAGCTGGCCTTGCCCGTCAGTCCAACCTGCCTGGAGATGCACGGGGCAGCCTCCAAACTCCCACAACATGCAGCAGAGTCTCTGAATCTGGGAAATAAAATATAGATTATGAATGAATAAAAGGTGTGTTATAAATTATAACATATGGGTTATGAATTATAAAATATTATGAAACACCTCCTGGGCAGCCCAGGCTCAAAGCCCAAGCTGGTTGCACACACAGAGACCAAGGCCAAGGTTTATCACCCTGCAATTGAAAGGGAATTAAATGAAATAAATAAACGTTTGAGGCTGGCGTGGCTGAAAACACGACCTGAGCAATCAAGGCCGCTGGTGAGGACGAGGACATTTGCATAGCTCTGCAAAACAGCAACCGCCGAGGCTCGCAGCTGGCAGGAAGGCTGGACCCTGGCTCGGGGGGGAGGTTGTTTAGCTGTGTATTAAACCTTACCCACAGCCTGGGGAGAGATGAACAGCCCCAAAGATAAACGCTCAAGCTTGTAAACAGGTCGTAAACAAGCAGAACCAACTAAAAAATAAACACCTTTCAGCTGCTTCAAAATGTTTATCACCTCAAATTTAGCCTGATAGTAAAATTCAGCTCCCAGCAGAGCCTCAGCCCTGGTCTGGGGACCAAGCAAACCCTTGTTTGGTGCTCGGATTTGGTGTAAACAGCCCCCTCTCCCCAGGCAGGTGTGCTGATGGAGAGGTCTTATCACAGGGCTGGTACTGCCCGTCTGGGGAAATATGGCTGTAAAATTTCAGCCCTTTTTAGGACTCCCAAGAAGGGGATTTTTTAGCTTAATGGTAAGAAATTTCTAGGTAGGGACAGCTGGTGGCTGAGTGATGGCAAGGCAGTGGCAGTGGTGGTTGCTGGGTGTGATGGAGGGGGCTGCCACAGTCCCTGCTGTGGCTCTGGGAGGGGACAGAAGGGTTTGACTCAAACAGACAGGGCAGACTTTTAAGCCAAATTTGGTTTTTCCCCCCCTCCAAGACCTGCTGGGGTGAGCAGCACCAGTTCTCAGCCCAGCACTGCTTGTCCAGCCAGCACGGGGGAACTGGAGGGGAATGTTGGGTGCACCCGTGGGTGGACCATGCCCCCCAGCCAGTGCCACCCTCCCCAGCGGCCTCCCCACCCTGAGCAAATACCACCATCAGCAGCCGTGGAGCTTCAGCCCTTTCCCCTTCCTCTACAGCCACAGCGGGGGAAGAATATCACGTTTAAGCATTTCTGCTGTGTTTTAGGCACATTTTGGTGGGCAGCCCAGGCTGCCCGTGGGCAGGGGGTGGTGACATGCATCACCAGCCTCGCGCTGAGCCGGGTGCTCTCCCTGGGCAGCTGTGCCGACCACAGCCCCACCGCGCGGGAACTGCCTTTGCTAAAATTACAGCCCGGCCGAAAACAAGAGCCCACTTTGGCCAAACACCAGATGGGAGCCAGGAATAGTCCTGACCCTGCCACGTGCTGCTTCCTCAGCACAAACTTTCCAGCATCTGGCACCCACAGCATCACCTGCCCAGCTGGGTGGCCGGAAAAGCCGTTTCTCAGTCCCTTTCAGCAACGGCTCTTGGGTGTGGGGGGTCCTGGGTCCTGTTGCCAAGTAGCCAGGGCAGCCAAGAATTCCCAACAGGAAGCACAGCGCCTCTCCAGGTTTGGAGTTTGCTGTCCCACTGTACAGAGGGCCTTGGCTGCCAGACCCTGCCTGGTGCCACCACTGTCCTCAGGCAGGGGCAGAGTGGCTGGCCAGGGTGAATCCCTGAGTGCTGGGGTGTCTCTTCCCAGGACTCCTACCAGGCATTTCTGCACCCTGCTGTCCTTGGAGAGCCACAGTCTTGTGCCCTCGATGGACGCCAGGGCAGGTGACATCTGGCCCCACTGCACAGGTGCCCCTCACAGCCTGGTCTGAGGGGGCTGCAGCCACTTGGGGCTCCCCATGGCTGAGGTCCCACCATGCTCTGTGCCTGGACCCACCACTCTTGCCAGCTGGGCCTGTAACCACCCCGGGTTGGACCTGGGCTCGGATGGGGAGCAGCGACCCCACAGCCTGTGGGTGCAAGGGGCTGAGCTGTGCAACAGGGCACAGGGAAAGGTGGGGAACGAAGGGACATGGGGGCACAGACGACATGGGGCGGACAACCCAGACGACAGTGACATGGGGGACACAGTGCGACAGGGACAGCAAGACCTGAATGACAGCGGCTCATGAGACGGGGCAGAGACCCGGGTGGCAGTGGCTTGTGGAAAGGGAAGGACAGGGCAGAGGTCTGGGCACAGAGGTCTGGGCACAGAGGTCTGGGGACAGGGAGGACAGGACAGGTCTGGGGACAGAGGTCTGGGGACAGAGGTCTGGGGACAGGGAGGACAGGACAGGTCTGGGGACAGAGGTCTGGGGACAGGGAGGACAGGACAGGTCTGGGGACAGAGGTCTGGGGACAGGGAGGACAGGACAGGTCTGGGGACAGAGGTCTGGGGACAGGGAGGACAGGACAGGTCTGGGGACAGAGGTCTGGGGACAGGGAGGGCAGGACAGAGGTCTGGGGACAGAGGTCTGGGGACAGGGAGGCCCGGGCGCAGGACCCGGGACAGCAGCG